CACATTAGCTAAGCCTTTAGAGCAGGAGAGGCATATGCCACTGGGTTCTTTGTTACAACTACTGGTGCTAGAAGAAGGAAACATATTTTATTCCCTCTATCTCTCCTTCAAGTTTACCTGTGAGAGCTCTTTGGAGAGAGATGTCACTCTGCAGCTTACTTGGGGTGCCTGCACAGCAGCACTTGAGCCTGGCTGTGATTCCAGTTCAGCCATAAGCATTGGACCATGACTCGAATCTGCATCTCCAAGGATTTCTGCTGCGAAAGAAAAACAAGGAAAAATAATTTCTGATCAATTGGAGTAATAATCTCCCAGGCAGAGAGATCATACAAAGCAAGATGTGGAGCCTTTTCAAGGCYGAACAGTGGAACATCAAATGCTAAGAAGAATGATTTCCTCCATATATACTCATGGTATATCCCTAAAATTACCCTTGTGAATGAAAAATAGTAAGCAAATATATTATTTATGTGTGTGTGTGTCTTTAAAAATGGAAAACAAACAAAAATAGTTTTAGGATCTGTAGATTTCCAATATGGCAAGTCTTTACAATAGGTTCATAGTGCATAGTTCATCATATCATTTCATGCTTAATGAGTTTTATCTCACATATTGGAAAGAGTCTGGAAAAGGTTTCTTCATTAAGAGGTTTCACTCTTGTGCGAGTTAAAAGAAACCTAGATAATTGTCAATTTTTTTTAAAGAAGTAATTTGCTCTGCAACCCAGTGTTTATCATGCTTCTGCAGCCTGCAAGCATATAAAACATCTTTTATGAAAAATATACTGACAGCTCATAAAATAACTCTGCCTTCTGTTACTATACAGAGCCAAAGAAATAACTTTAAGTCTAATTAACTGCAATTATTGTTCAGTTTAAGACTACATATGTCTTATTGCCATATTTCATGTGCAATTTGGTTTTTATATCCATCATTTTAACCACTGAAAACAAGGATTTATAAAGGAAATGCTGATCTCTACAATGCTGCCATAWGTCCATACAAGCAACACTTTCTGCATTCTCCAAGTAGACAAGAGATTTCCRTAATACAAATTACAACTGGTCACCAAACTAAAGGCATTGACAGATGCATAAACCCTAGGATTCCTATAGATAATTTGCAAGTAACTCATTCTGACAGGGAAACCATCACACTACTGCAAGTGTCTGCTGCAAGGTTATATGCTTSACTAGCCAAGTGTTTTAATGTGTACAGAATTACACGCCCTGAAATATGTCGTTTAACAATGATTTAATCTCATCCTTAAAWATAATTCTTAAATAATCACGAAATAGCATTTAATCCAACTCACAATAGACTATAGGATGTGCAATCTCACATACCCACGAAGGATAACAAAGGACTTGGAGGAAAAGTGGGAAAAAAGTACAGATCATTCTCTGCCTCCAAGTAATTATTTCATATTCAGCATTAACTTCATTATCAAAACGACTTGAAGAGAAGAGCATCTGATCCTTCCTGACATGAAAATATTGAGGTGGGAAGAAATGGGAACAAATYAGAAAGCAACAGAACTCGGTCTGGAATTATTGCACTTCATGCGTAAGTGCAGGACATTCCTCTGTGGTATATGGGCATATACCTATGGATATAGGGTATGACCCCTGTGCGTCAGCYGTCTCCTCCAAAAATGATACCACAATAAAAGCAATACTGCAAGATTTAAGAAATGAGCATAAAAGACAGAGAAAGAGACTGCTTCTGGATTATCAGCACATCCATTTTAAAAAGGGTTTGATATTTACAGGGCAGGAAAAGGTCATCCTAGACTACATTAAATACATTTAATAAATATGCATAGAAGAGATACAAAAATGCTATGTGAGACACATGCTGGGCCATCTACAAATGGGCTGGATAAGGAGACATCTCCGAATAGATAAAGATAAGCTTCTGCCATTAACGAGCASCTGCCAATTCTCTACGTGGTCCTGAGCACTGTCAAAATGTATAGAGGATTATTCTAGATCACTCTTCTATTCCCACGTCACAGCTCTAACTCTACAGTGTTAAATGAGTGACATGAAGAATGAGATGGCAGCATCACGTAGTCTTCTGCCAGGTAGTCCAACATCACAGATCTGCAAATGACATTCAGTTAACTACTTTTAATTGAAAGCTTAAGGATATAGTGCATTCCAGATATAGTTTCAAGGCTGAGTGGTCGAGTTGGTTCAAAATGTTAGGTAACAGTGAGCTTAAAGGACTTTCTCTCCAAAAAACAATTTCAGATGTGAATTAAACTTCATTTCTCTGCCTGCATTTATATCACGTTGAACACATTCAATTTCCATCAACTTCCTATTGGCCAAGTGTCAATAAAATGAGAACTCCTTCTCTCATCAAGATCATAAAAGTGAAGATCACAAGGAGAGAAAAACAGTTGTTTACTGGCCCACTATGGTACAGACAACTAATCTGCTTTAGATGAATCGGTGCGATCATATTTGTCTTATTAAAGCTTAATAATTATTGCAGTTTTGTCTACGCAAATTTAAARTCACACTCAAGTAAAGCAGAAGTTTCTACAAATCTGTAGCAGTTTAATTAAGCAAGTACATAAATACACTTTTAGATAAAAATGGAGAAAAGCAGGTAGAAAGACGAGGGAAATAAAGGAGGGGCCACAATCCTCTGCTTTACCAGAGCAATATATTCCTTCACTACCTTGAACAAGCCACAATGTGGGCCTCAGCTACCCATCTGGGAGAAAAAGAATTTCCATATGTTATAGGAATATTATGAAGCTAAAATATATTACAGATTGTGAGACAGTACAATATTGCTCTGATGGAGTGATAAAAGTAAGGAGGAGGAATGCCGTGAGAAGAGAGATAAGAAGCCCCTGGCTCTGCCAACACTACTATCTGTTCTACAGAAACAGGCTTCAAGAATGGTCAAATCAAGTGGTTTTGAGTTCTGACTTAAAAGAATACAACACCTATTTTGCAAGTTGACTTTTGMATAGGAAAGCAGATCTTTGGAATGATTTTAATTCAAACTATGTATTACAGAATTCTGCATTAGCCAGAGAAAAGTGAAGACATTGTGTGAGTTAAACCCACCCAAAACAATTCTCAGACTAGGAATGCTCATCTTTTCATTGCAGCTATTGCCTGTATTTAACACAGGAGTTCGAATGCACTCTCTGATTTCAGATGCAGATTACAGAAAGTCTCAGAATACAATACCACAGAACGGAAATAATCTAATTATACCTGCACTTTGGGCAAACTGTCCTGGTGAGGGAGCACGGAAACCCTGGTTTCCACTCTCAGAAGTCCAAGGAGGTGGACGTTCGGAATAAACTGAACGTCCCATTAGGATATTTTCTTCTGCTCTTGTCAATGGAGGTCTTTGACCTTCGCTGATCTCCCCAATGCTATCATCAGAATCCTACAGWGGACAGCAACAACAGAAAAGCAGGTTTAAAAACACAAATCATTTCTTCCAAAAATTAGACATTATCTAATTACTTTAGCACAAATAAACTAGTCTTGGGTGGGAAAAAAAAAAAATAAAGACATTGAACAGATACCATGTCGATTGACCTATTTTTATCTGTACTGGACTGAAAAGAATCACTCACAACCAGAGAGCATCACTTCTTTTGCTAGTGATACCCCAAGCTGATCAGAAACCGAGTTACATATTCAACACAGGAATCACTTACATTACAGATACTGTCATTGCTACCTGTCTGACACTGTAACATTAGAAATATTTAAAAGCTATTGGATCTCTGTTGTATAGAATATTATATAAAAAGATTCCTTTTTAAATAGGTTTTGATACTGATAAAACAAAGATGTTTCTTTGGATTCTGACTTTCAACCAAGCTGCAAAGAAAAAACCATAAATTCGCTTCTATGCAAGGCAAAAAAAAAAAAAAAGGCTGAATAAACATACAAATTACAAACACACATGCATGGTGTTATTGTAAGAAAATACCAACATCATCTACAAAAATATTCTTCTCTTTTACATGAGAAACTATGCTTGTATCTGCCTTGCTGGAAGCTGTGGAGGAATTTACTAGTCTTATATGATCGACTGAGTGGCCTGCGACCAAGGCAAAAAACAAATTAAAGACGCAGTKGTATTTGGCAGTGCTGACAAGAAAATGTCATTACAATTACAGTCAGACTCAGAACTGACACCATAGAAAGCTCTTCACTAAGTTCATCCATCAARGCTTGTTAAGCAAAACACAGACAGACAGAGCAGGAAACAGTTAAGGAGGTGAGTGAAGTTGTTACTTTAGAATAAACTGACCAAGATGGAAGGAAGAGACTACACATGCATCAATGGAAGCCCAAAAAGCAAAAAGAAATGTCCTAAAGAATTATATTTGTGAATTGTGTTGAGATATTCAAGGTTCACTTGCTGTAAACATCCCTCCAGCTATGTTAATTTGATCAGACATCTATTCCAACCTTTTTTTTCCACACAGAAAATACCTAGCTGTGTTACAAACACAAAACTTGTGCCCCTCCTAATGCAGACCATTGTATTTTTCTAAGTCTGTTTTTTTTTTTTTTATTATTACTTTTTCTTTTTTTCTACCAACCTATTAGGAATATTTGGGATTTTGCTCCAAGATCAGTATCAACAACATATGCAAAACTGCATGTAAACGTTTCTGAGAGTTACTCTTAATATTTCCTCCAAAACACTCATCTGGCAGTAAACGCATGGAACTTGCGCTGCTAAACACACCACTTACACTGCCAAAGTGACAGAAAGCTTCCTTGCTTTTCAAAATGACAGGACAAATTTGGCATAGCCTAACAGTCACACACACAGCAGGAAAGCTGGTTATGTGTGATAGGACATACAGCAAAATTGTTTATAACTACCCTAAAACTTCAGTGCTTTTAAAATATTTAGGTGAGAGAAATTTTAAAATATTTAGGTGAGAGTCAACAGAAGTGGGATCACTTCCGATAGAGATTCAAGTGGATGAACTTGTTTCACAGCCAAGAGGAAGAAGAAGCTTCAAACATCTTAAGTCATTTTTAAGTAAGAAATTATCATTTCTAAACTCACCTCCAAATGGCACATTCCTTCTTGTGCAGCAACAGGGGCCTGATTTAGTTTGGCAAAGAGAGTCAGAACAGGATCCCTGTGATAGCCCTTATGGGGTCTTTTCACTACTTGCCCTTCACTGGGAGGATCAAAATCCTTTAAACAAAGAAAAAAAGTTCACATAATATATGATCCCCAAATTAYTCTATATTTTGTTCACATTTTTTTCTTTTATGAAAGAAATTATTGCAGTTACCCACATTCAGAACACATGTCATGAAAATCCAAGCATCTAAAAATCAGACTGTCATGCAGCAGCCTTCTTTTAATAACAAAAGTGCACAAGCACAGAGTTGATACAGAAGACTGTAATAATTTCAGATGGATGATGTCCATTATGGTCTTGGGTCCAGAGGGACAGTTAAATTCACACATACCGGATGCTTGCAAAGATCTGGCTGTACAGCTGCTCTCACCAGCAGGGATTTAGCAGGGAAGAGTTTGAGGATGAGAAAGATTATTGCAAGGAAATATGATCCATTTGAGAAAAGAAAAGAGAAGGATACCTTAGCAATCAGGCTTACTACCCTAATGGGAAGAACTTCATCCTAAATTTACTTAACAAGAATCTTAAGCCTAGACTTTAGTRGGAGGAAGTCCTGCTAACAGAAAAGGTACCCAAAGGGAAAGTCATGAGAAGGATTTTATAGTCTTGATCCAAAGGGAGGACATTCTCCTCAAGGGTCTATACACTCACAGAAAGATCTTCAAGTGCAGGGGATAGTCTCAGGGCTATGACACAAATGAAATTATGGATATGATGGGACAGCATCCATGAGTGGATTTGAGACATGTATGGATACAAGTGCTTAGGAGAGACTAAGCACTGGAAGGAACTTCTGGAGATCATCTTGAACCAATCTCCTGCTCAAAGAAATATCAGAGCCACTTCTAGTTGGGTTTTGAATCTCTCCAAAGATAGAGACACCACAATATCTTTAAACCTCGTCCCAGTTTCTGGTTACCCTCTCCATAGAAAAGTTTCCAACCTACTCCTATATTTCTATTTGTGCCCATTGGCTCTYGCCTTTTCCCTGGACACCTCTGAAAAGAGTTTGCTTCTGTCTTTTTGCTATCTCCTATCAGGTGTTTATACACATTAAGATCCCTCYGAGCCATCTCTTCTCCAGGCTAAATAATTACAATTCTCTTCTCAGCCTCTTCTACTGACACCCACTGTCCAAAACACTGAGTTCAGCAAGTTTTCAGTTCAAGATCAAGGAGTTCCTCRAATGCATGGAATTTATATTTTATTATAAACTACCTTGAATAATGGACTTTTTTTTCCTTTGGACCTCTGACATTCTAACATTCTTTGTAAGCRTATAGTTTAAAAGTGTAAATTTAACAAGTTTAAAATTGAAAATTCTTAGTATCATGCTAATCCAATTCCTCATTAAAAATGTCCTTACCATTTCATTGGCATCTCCTAATGTACTGGTTAAGCTCTCAGTAAGAGCTGGAAGAGACAGTCCTCCTGCTGCTAAGGCTGAAAAATATTTTAAGTTACCAATACGGAAAAAAAMACATGAGTTATGTGAAAGCAAAATAAAGTTATATTCTTCAGTAATTTCTATGCAGYGCTCTAGTAAGGTCAGAAATTCCTACTACTACATGACTAGTGGAAAGACAGATTTTCAGCCCACAGCAAAAATATTTACTTTCAATATAGATTATTTATGGTACTTTCATGAGACAGTCTAGATTATTTTCCAAATTMATTTTATAACAAAAGAGCATATTTAATCTTTTGTTCATTAGTGAATAAATGCTTTTGCTTAGAGAAAAGAATGATGAGATCTCTTAAATATCACCAAAAACATGAGCTAAAGTTAAACACAGGTTAACACTTGTAGTTATAACACAGAAGGTATGAAATGTAACTCCAGTAGATTGGAAGAGAATTTTATCAAGAAAAAAAAACACCCTAAATTCTGATTTCCACAAAATTTGGTTAAAGCTACCTCTTGCAGCCACCATCTGTCCATAGCTGAAGAGAACTTCCCCCTCTGAGATGGGCCTATCTGCAGTTTCTGTTTCGGTGAGGCCAAGGCTGCTTTCCTCCGTGGACTGCCCAGAACTAACTGTAGACACTGGGGATGGAGCCTGTGGTTCACAAGGGAGTGATTCAGGGGGCTTCGCTGATGACTGCCGAGATGGTAGAATCAAGGCCTCTGGTTCCTCATCGTTAGCCACTGACATTACACTACAATGTAAGAATATATCAAAATATATCCTGGTGAATATATCAAAACGAACAAAATTGATAATGCTGACTAGAAGGAAATAAAACTAATAAAAAGAAATAAGCTTGCAAATATTCTTTCAAATGGAAGAGTATGACATTAATGGAAGAGTCTGAGAATCAATGTGGTTGACTATCTTATTAATGAATTTATGTTCATAACTAAAGATAACTCCTTGCTACAAAAACTCACTGTGATAACAGAAAAATAAAATGTTAATAATGTCTACATGACATGTCATTGTTACTATTTATGTAGCAGATTTTATAATGCCAATTTATTGACTACAATGGTCAGCAAGACAATGAATAAGAATGGATAAATTCTGGGAAAGGTCCTAATTTCACATTTCTCTCCAAAATACAAATAAAGCACTTCTAGAAAAAAAAAAAAAAATGACTTCTCACAATGTCTTCTGACATAYATCAAACACTTTCCTTTGTGTACTTTCTGAGGATACGTGTAGAAAGGATATACACATTTTTCACGAAAGGAGAAAGACATGTGGACCATTAAACTCACACAGCTCTGGGATGGAATGGTTCTTCATGTAAGGGACTGGGTTTCTCTTCTTCCAGAGGGAGCTCTGCATCATCCCATGGGTTTGGAAGCTTTGGACTGTCCATTTTTGCAGAGATTCCTTCTGAGGCTGGAGGACTTGGTGTAGTTATTCTSGGGGGGGTACTGGCAGGGGTGACCACGGGTGTGCCAACATGGCTAGTGGCATCTGGATTCTCAAGTCCTGTGCCTGAGAAACCAAATTTATGATTAGAAAGGAAAGCAGGAAGTAACCTTCAAAGAACAGATCTTAACAGTCCCACTAAGCATTTCCAGAGCTAAATATTTTTTGATAATTATGGAGATGAAACCAGATAAACACTAGATACTTTATAGCACAATGTTAGTGTATAAAGAAGCTAGAAACACCTCAACTCTTTATTGCCTGTAATAAGGCAGTCTGTTATGTACTTTAAAAACTAAGCTGCTTTACTTGAGGAATGCAAATTTGGCTTGATTAACATCAGGAACACAGGAAATAGCAAAAGCCTTATTTTCTGATGTGAAAAAGTACGTTGGGGTGGAATCGCACAGAGAGTAGCAACGTGCATTACGTTTGATAATAGAACTGTTATCAAATAGATGCTTGCCTTTTATACAAATTAGCTCATAATTTTTATACCACGTAAGCCCTTACTTGAATTATAGCCTCAAGAGTGTTTATTCTGAGAACAGGTCTTTGAAGAAGAAAATTAAAAGCACTAGATTAAAGCATATTTGCCCTTTCTCAAGCTCAATTATTTTCACTACCTGTTTCTTTCATTTTCTCTCCTTCCTGAACATCACTGCTCATTTCGGTAGCAGATGGAGAAGACTCTGGAGTTTTGACCGGAGGCAGCTCTTTTTCTGAGGGTGGTGTTGGAGGTGGTGTAGCCTGGGGTGTTGGCAATGGAGTAGGCAGAAGAGGTTCCTGAAGGAATCACAATTGCCGTTATTACCTCAATGCAAACCTCCTATCATCCAAGTACATCCACAGTTAGTCAAGGGAAAAGGAGAGGAAAAAACAGAAATGCAAGAGACAGAAGCACAGGCAGAGTTTCACAACAAAAAGAACAATTTTTACTTAGATGTGTGCTTTACAGGTGTAAATCCTCCGTCTAAATAAAAAAATTGCACTAGGCTTAATGGATTGCTTGGACAAAATCAGGAAGTTAAAAAAATAGTAGATAAGTATTATATGGAGTTTAATAAAGCTTTTTGATGCTGTATTAAATAAACATTCATGTAATAAAAAACTTTAATGCTAAGTAAAAAAAAAATATTTCCCAACACAGGCAAAATAGAATCAGCGCAATACTTCTAAAGGAACTATCTAAAAGAGAAGACAATGAACAAGCCAACACAGCAAAGCACTGAAAGATGCATGAAAACAGTCACTACGTCTTGAGCAAAAATCAGTGCTAAAGTTCTATTTAACAAGAAAATACGTTGGTTGTCGTTCTGTCTGCTACAGCGGAATAGGATGGACTAAACAACCTCTCGAGAGTTTTTCCAGCCTGTTTTCTGACATTCCGTAAAGAAAAACCAAACAAACCCTACAGAARCCCATGCTCTTTCCTCAGAATAAGTCCTCAGTCTGTTGATTTTTATTAATGACCCGGATAGGAAGTGGAACATGCTAACCCAATTAGCAGTTCACACATAACTGCATGACTGACTCCAAAGCCGAGACCAATCTACGCTGGAAAACATAAAAGCAGAGCCCAACAGGAAGAGCTGAGGGTTGGCAGAYAGACGCTTTATTTTACCTAGTCAAACAAAGCCCAGCGAGGACACAGCTAACGCAACAAGTACACAAATGCATAAATACAACAGGGGAAAAACAACCACTACAGCTGAAAGACAATGAAAGTGCAGGAAAAAGAAGGCTTAGAAGCACCATGAATAAATTTAGAACAGTAATTAGAAGAGGGTCTTGGTGTTACAAAAGCAAGCTCTGAAGAACAGCCCTCCCTAACTTCCCATCCTACTTAATGTGTAACTGAGTGGAGAGGAGCTTTTCAGCACAGGATGGCTGTACTGAGGCTACAGCAGTAAAACCCCTCTGTCTGCCTGCAGAATAATCTCATTTACAGCTGGTAGGAGGTGGCACTTCAGTGYGCGAGCACTGCACCAGATCAGAAAAACTGCCCTCACTTTTCACCAGCCCTTTAAATAATTCTGATACTTATTACAGATAATTTCTAAGCACTGCCTTTTACACATGTATCAGACATTACACAATGTTGAACACTGCACTGTAATAGCATCATGTTGTTATAAGAGATAGTTGGGAATTGATTATGAAAGTGGATAGGAAAAAAAATTCATCTTACAGAAAGCTCTAATCACTTAAGCATTTGCTGGAAACCACTGAATCCAAAATGCAGAAAGAATTAATATTTATCTTTAGAAACGTTACAGAATGTCTGTTGAGCTGTAGGGCCAAAAATAATACTGTTCTCAAGCTAAACTCTATTCTTCACTCTTGCAACTCTGCAAAAAAGTATACTTTGCTGAAAATAACGTAGTCATGAAATCCAGCACTACATTTTTTCTTGAAAATCAGTTTTGTGCTCAGTCTTTAAAATAAATAAATAAAAACAAAGCATGTTAAAGTGAACACAAAAGAATTCATATTTTCTGAGTAAGTTTAAGCTTGATGCCTGCTGGGGTATAATAGGGGGAAAAAAAAGGCAAATTGGGGCCATTCAATTTTCCAGTCTGTCTCTAACTTTCCTGCCATGCTATCAAGGACTTCTCTTTAGAACTTCAGCAGCAAACGTTACATAAAAGGGACTCTTACCAGCACAACTGCAGTACTCGGGGCAGCAGTTGCAGCAGGAGCTGCCTGCCTGTTACCCAGCACGGTGGCAATTGTCTCACTGAGAGCTTCATTCACGAGCTGGCTAATCACTTCCGAGTTCACTGGCACACCAGCATCCACAAAGAGCTGCAATCCTCCTCCACCTGCAACTTCAACTGTAAATGAAGAAACACAAAGCACACATCCAGGTCTCACTTTCTTAAAAGTGATTTTTAAGGTATTTTACTACAGCACGTTTTTGATTATTAACAGATACAGAAGCTACAGTAAAGAAACTGATCAAGACTATAGAAAAAGCCAGTGGAGGACAGTGACATSATATGAGAAATGCATTTGGCTCCTTTTTTGGCATAAGGGAGGTAATTTAAGCTATTAAGAAAAAGGCAAACAAATGTTACAGGTTCAGCAAAATGCCACGCTCAACCAAATCTGATTTACACAGCAAATGAACAGAAGTYGGTTTGCCACAGCAGTATATTTTGTGTTCACCTTTTCTCGTTTAGAAAAGATATTTTAACGTCTTTTTTAATTTGTGCTCTGACTCAACGTAAAATAAAGAATGTGTTTTTGTGTGCAGTAGTTTTTCTAGTTCACATCTTCAACTGCAAACAATAACTCCTACTTACCAATATCAGAGGTTACAGTCTCATTGTCTTCACTTTCTGATGTGCTTATGCTGGGCACTACTTCTTTCTGAACCGGATACATCCCACTGATAATTTTTGCCATTATCTCTTGTTCCACCCTAGCAAAATAATTTTTTTATACTCATCAGTAAGCACCAAGACACTTAAATGCAGCATTTTTGACACAGGAAAAAACATGGATGCTCAAAGAAAAGCTGACAAGGGAAGGATGAAGAAAGGGAAGTTTATTCTTATGGGCTCATTCTTTCTTCCATATTTTTACTCTTTCCTTTCATAACAGTCACTCACACTACAACTCACCAATGTATCAACCTGTTTTCTACAGTTTCTCTCCTCTCAATGAGTTCATCCAAAACATCAGAAGACTGCTGAGGAGCAGAAGCCACTGGAGGATATAAAGGACCATTGTATTTTGGAGAGGCAACTCTAAATTGTCCATTAAGCTCCAGGAGAGGCTCACAGAATTCTGGAATTTCATCACTCTCTTCTTCCTGATCCTAATAAACGAGAAGTAAATCAAATTATAGTACATTTTTGTAAGATAATGTCATTGCGGCAACCTTTGGATTTTTTTTCTTCGGGAAGCAGTTATAGATGTGTCACAGCACACAAACCACATTCTCCCTTGTTATTATGTTGTAGTTAATAGACACAGTTCTAAACCTAGCAAATCATAAATCTGCAGAGGTAGAGGATTATAGGAACTGCTAAGTGAAACATGATTTGGCTTACGTTTCCKGCCTGCACTGCACAGGGCAGGGAGCCAATCGTAACTCTAATACTCGAGAAATTTACTTGTGACATAATTGAGGTTTCKTGAAATACATATCTCAGGAACATGCCTTTTTTTTAAAAAAAAAAAAAAAAAAAAAGAAAGAAAGAAGAAGAAAAAAGACAAAGCTTAAGAATCTTTCTGTAATCATTTGTTGAGGAGGAGAGTTAAAAATTAAACTTTTTTTTAAAAAAAAAACTCTAGTGTGAAAAGACATATTCCCAAAAGTTAATGAATATGCAGTCAGTCAAAACTCTAATAAATAAATCATCGTTGCAGCTTAGACATTAATAATCTACACGTGTAGGTTAACTCTTTCGCTAACGTCAGTTGCTGAGAAGGTGGAAGGAATTTCTTGGCAATCAGCTCCCAAGATCCCCAGAGACCCTTTGAATCTAACCTTAATGTGCTATTCCTAAAAGCTAGGCAAGTTTTCCTGTGTGCATTAACAATGTTTGACTGTTTCCAAAGATGTCATCCTCCTCCTCCTCCCTGTTTCCTCCTGAGTGCATAAGCAGCATTAAGTTCCCCAAAGCAGAGAGACCAGCCCATCCTGCCATACTGCAACACTTTAGGAATGCCTCCTGATGGATAAGAACCTGTAACCTTCATTCAAAAATTAAATTTAAACATTTCCAATAGTAATATAGTGCTATAAGAAGAAAATTACGCATGTCAAGAAAAGAGCTGAGGAAATGAGCTCTAAATTACCAGAGAACATGTGATGTTCCTTTAAAAAAAGCTCACAGTGAATCTACATTAATGGATATTGATCTCCTACAGAGTGCCAGAGAGAAGAAAAACCTTAAATAGTTCTTATGCATAGGAGAACAAATCACTAAAAATGGGAAGAAAAGAGAAAAACAAAAGAGACAGTAAGAGCTTCCTCTCTCTTTCCTCAACCCACTACTAATGCCTCTCCTACCTTAATATATCCTAAAGCTGGAATAAGACAGACAGCTCCGTGATGGGTAGTGCACTGAATAGCTATTTCTGCTGGGGGACAAAGGGTAATCTTTCTGGCGCTCTGAACAGTAAAAATTTTCCAAAGAAAAACTGTAACCTACAAAGCAGGCAAAACTAAATGTGCAAGAACGATCCCTGAACTATTCTATGCATTCATTCAGAAATAAGACAGTAAAGTTATACTCAAAATGTCACCGGATGACTTGTGRGCTGATAAGCAATTCGTTCTCTGAGGATATATGCATTCATAACCATAATTCATCCTGACAGCAAACGTAAAGACGCCTTTTGTCCACTGTTTCATTATGCAGTTTCTTCTGACTGCATTACTCCATAAATTTTCTTTGATGTCTCCCATTTAATATAATCTTTTCTGAAAGGACGCAAAATGCAAACATCTGGATTAAATAAACCAAGTGCATACAATAAATTTTGCGTATAATTAGTAACTCCTGACAAAATTCTGCAAGTTTTCCTGCATTTCTAGATTATGCACATAAAATATCTTACACTTAATAATACACAAATCTGAAAAAAATCTAAAAGTTACATTAATTCGAGGAATGATAAATTACCACAGAGGAAAATTTAAAAAATAATTAAAATAAAATAATAATAATGATTAGTACTTAATTATAGAGCTTGAACTTGCACATATATCACCTTGCAGCCAGTCCTGAATAATCTGCACTCAACTCTGCATTTTACCTCCTTGGAGACCTTTTAAAACATCTATCATGTCTCCTGATCAAAATAATGCATATATTAGAAAGTCCTTCAGCTACAGTTGGAATATTAATCATTCCAGTTTAAAAAGTATCAAGCTGAAATTCTATTCATTTCCTAAAATTACATGCAAATAATTAAAGTGTAATTGAAATGATTAGGTAGTACAGATTAATTTCGTTCCATTACTGAACATATATACATATTATCTTTTATTAAAGCAATCCAAAACTTAAGACATGGATTTCTTTTTAATACCGATTTCTAAAGCAATTTTCTCAAGCGAAGTCTAGCTCTATTACAGATGCTACTGGTGATATTATGCCTGAAGAACTAAGCACGTAAAAAGTCATAGTGCCCCAAAGAGCATTTAAGAGAAAAACTGTCTTGAGTATGATAATGTTAATGCTGATCTCTGCAGGTTTATATATATATATTTTTTTAAATTAAATATATATATATTTATATTTTATATATTTATATATATTAAAAAATATATATATGTGTATATATATAAAATATATATATACACACATATGTATTCAACAACATTTAAGCACACAGCTGTCTCAGAATGGAAGCTGAAGTTCTGAAAATTAAGTCCTTACCTTGCAGCTGGGCACATTTACAAAGTAATAAAGAGGATAAATAAAACAAAACTGTCCAATCTTACAGTAAAGTYTAAGTTGCTGAAGATGTTGCAGGTGTGGGTGCTCATGAGATGGAGACTCAACTCACTAAACCTGCAAGTCTATTCTGACCTCATGTTAACAGAGCGAGTTGCCTGCTCTGCAATGTGACAGGGTTGATCGGTGCAGTCAGTSATATGGGCATATATATGTATATCTATGTCTATACATACAGATGTATRTATATAYATGTGGGCATATATACGTTGTATATTTTATATATATATTTTATAAAAATWCATAGATGCACAACATTATATGTCCACATATATACACATGCATATATATATATATGTTTAGATGTGGTAATTATATGTCTGTGTTCTGCCTGCTCAGCCTCACTACTGTTTGTGCCTGGGAACAGGGAGCTGCGAGAGTCTCGCTTCTGTTGGGCTATAGGACCTGACAATCCCTATCAATTAGGATTTCAGCTTTTAAAGTAACTCTTGAATATGCATCTTCTTATATGATGAGTAAGTAAAGCAAACYCTAGAAAAAGAAAATGCCTCTGCCGAGGTCCTGAAGCCTTTTTGCAATTTCCAACAAGAAAGGTGAGGGGGAAGAAAGAAAGAAATTCATTGCACACAAAATATTTATCCTTTTCAACTTTACCGGAAACAACTTTTCATGGAAAAATAAAAAAGAAAGCATGAGGGAGGAAACAATAAGCTCTTTTCCCATATAACATTTTATGAAGCATCTGAAGCAAAGTTGTTCTTACAAAAGAGGATTCCTTTTGATGTCTTAACTACCCTTGCCACTCTAGAGGTTGATTTTATGCTTCCACATTGTGTTTGTCTTGCACATTTTTAAGAACATTGTCTACATGGTCATAGGCCAAACACGTGTTTCACTTGGAACATTTTTTCATATTGTGGTTAAAATATATCCCATTGCCAAAAATAAAAGATAAAAGCAATCCAAGGAGAAAAATGGAGAAAAAAAAAATGAGATACATACACACAAATATACTAACAAGGGAAGAGATTCAGCAAAAACAAATAAGTAACACGCATATATTACTCATCTATCCATTTGTTACATGCTTTTTGACTGAATTGAGGTATTATGCCAAAGTATTTTAGGACTTCAAACACATACACATACTTTGAAAGAGAAACCTCAGAAAATTCTTTTACATTATAAAATAGAAGTTTGCCTAAAATCTGTAAGGGCATCTTATTTTTCTTTCGGAGCTCAGATTTTAGTGTCATTTCTATAAGTTTCTTTATTCATTAACACATAGTGACTCACTGCATGTTCACAGCACTGTGAGCACTGGGAAAAAAACACTGTTCACAGTACTTTTGAAGTAGGTAGTAAACTCATTTCTCACATCATTTTTTTCAGTTATGATAATAATAGAAAATAAATATGAAACATTTTGGAGAAAACTATAGTGTTTTTTTCCCCTCGATATAATTACCTGCATGATATCAGTAACATCAATGAAATTAGTTCCTGGATACTTTATGTCTTCTTGCTCATTTTGTRTATCTTCTGGAGTCTTATAAAGAGAGATTGAAACTTAAGTAACTCACATGGCAGGGGAAGGGGGGAGAAAAAACAAAATACACATTTAACAGGAAAACTACATGCCAAGAACACAATGACTATCCAGGAATAATACCATATATATTGTAAAAGCTAGGAGGAATTTCTTTGCATAGCYTAAACCATGTTTCTTGTATTCTGACAGCTATGCTCACTGAATTATAACAGACTATCTCACTGCTGCAAGTTCAAGGACAGTGCCTATAACCATTWTTAAAATTAGCTTGACAAGCATTATGAAAGGCAGCATCCACAAACATGAGTGTGTCTTAGATCATTTACTTGTGTTTAAATTCTAGAATATCATTCAATATTTCACTGTTTTAGACTATGGTCCCTATCTTATTCATTGACAGCCTCGACTGTGGAACTCCAAAGAGTCCTCTCAAGTCAGAAAGGCAGCTGACAGTCACCAAACAATATGCCATCCTATAAACATTAGTGCCTTAGTTTACAGCTTTATAATTCAGCAGGCAGCACTCAGTATTTCTATTCAGCTGAAACCTTCATTATCACCTAGACCAGACTAAAAATGCTACTGAAAATCTTTTTGGGAAGAGCACAGAGGGGAGCAGCCAGTTCTGTAGCCAGCCACTTTGTGTCATTTACCCCCCATGCAACAGGCTATATACATGTCACTAACCATTCAAATATAGACAAGGAAGAGACAGAGGAATGAAGAGCATCTTCACTCTTCATGTCAACACTCTGAAGCCTATATAAATAAGACCAAATGTAACAAGAGCCCATAAGGGATTATAATTCTYGACAAGACAAAGAAATACTGCCTTTCCTAGGGTTTTGCTGCAGGGCTTATTCAGTCTTGGAAGAATAAGTCTCGGGCTGCAAATTTTTATTTGCTTAAACAAATACCTCATATTACAAAATTTTCAATAAAACCATTCCACTCTTTTCCTAGAACCAAACATGGGTAACTGTAGAAGTTCAACATCATTTACACATATTCTCTTATTTTTAACAGATTTCAATTCTTTCAGATCAATCAATACCTGTATTACTGCATGGACAGGAGGAAATGCTGTTTCTGAGCCTGAAAGTTCATGGTTTACACTCAAACTGCCACTTGAAATACTGTCAATATCAACATTTGGTAACACCTGGATGCAGAAAAAAAAAAAAAAAACAAAACAAACAATCTGACTTTTTGCAGCTACTGCCAGTGAACTTCCTATATTACCTTCTTTTATTTGCTATTGAGTCACTAAACTCTTCAGCAAATCTCCTTTTCTCATACTTGCATCTGGTTACAATGTGATTCCATTAATCAGAATACCATAATATACAAAAAGTAACACCAGAGGAATATTGTCCTCTTTTCTCCTGGAGCCTCATTTCTCCTGTTCACTCCGATTAACAAACTGATTTTTAACTATAGCAGGGCTGCTAACTGCCAGATATTTTGTCTAGCGGGTAAATATATGGTTATCCACTCACATAATAGATGTACTAATTCTATTAATATGAATTAATTTGACCACGTTTGATTATATTTATATTATGTTTGTCTATAAGCCACTGTGTAGGTTGGCTACAGTCTTTATTTTGTCATACACTTGCTAGGGTAAAAATAAGGAATGATGGTTGTACAAAACAGTTAACATGGGCATGTCCATTATAGCGTCAAAAAGAAAAATATTGTTTCTTAAGTACAGCTCCACAATGCATGAAGTTTTAATACTAGTTTAAGTCTCTCGGGAAAAAAAAAATTCAATTAAGAACTAACTGGGTAAAGTAATACAAATAGGTACATGGGTATAATACAATGATGCAGCAAGTGAATGAACCACATGCTCTGTTTCTACTTAACTTTGAGTTCTGCAAATGATTTAGATATAAAAGGTGGACGTAGGAGTGAGAATATTTCCCACAATTTGAATGCAAAACACTGAACATGTAAAGTAACATTTACTTCCTTGACAACAGACTTATGTGACAAAAGCTAGATAGGACTTAAATGGTTGAGTAATCAGGAGTGAAATTCTTGGGATTAATATCATAGCTGAAAAACAAATCTTAAAGGCCAAAGCATTCAGCTAAGAAAAGGGATATTTATATTAACACTTTTCAATTTCAAGTTTATTCTGGCTTGAAGATCTCCTTCAAAATAAGAAAGTGTGGGATATAATGTGATACAGGACTATTTTACAAATAACTTGCATGGCTGCCTTGCAGRAGAAATAATGATTCTCTTTTGGTTAAATAATAAAAAATATTGTTAAAAGTATGAACAAATATCAGCAGAGCACAACAAATTTTTGGTCACTCAACAGCATATGTTTCTAAGGCTTACAGAAAAAACATTTACAATGTCAAAATAAGTTGCTAATGGATGTGCCTCTGCCTGTAGTTAGCTTTTATATACAAATAATTCATCACTCAATACATACTTGTACAGAGAGTTGTGGTGGGTCCTTTTTCTCTGATCTCATCTTTATTACAGCTATGTTTGCTTTTTTTGTCGAAATTGATGGTTTTGGGGGCGCTGGAGGCAGAGAGGTTGTTACTGTGACAGGGTGTGGTTTGCCTATAACTACTCCAGCAGGCTGCAGTGAAACATCGCTTATCTGCGTTTGACCTAAGCAAAGTTAAGGAAAAACAAAACAAACAAGAACATAAATCCTAGAAAAAAAAAACAGGAAATGAAAAAAATAATTAAAAGCCAATTCTAGGTATCTCTGTTTCACACAGGACAGACTGAGGTCTCTTGTGCAGTCAGAGAGCAAATTAAAAAGTCCTCTACTACCTATTACACTAGAGGCTAGTATTTCACCAGGTAAACTTAATATTTTCCGAATAAAGATTTGAAACATTGACATTTTTCAAGTCCAGAAGCAATTCTGAAGCAGTTTAGTTTGATGACAGTGACACCTGCTGTCGAAAACAAGAATAACTGCATTACCATCCTTGCTAGAAAGTTACCTCTTTCACTTCCTCACACTTTTAACTACATTCAAAATATTATTATGGTTGGTATAGAACTTGTCATATTTTAATTCGAGGCTCTTCATCCTGTATAACCATTTTCTTTAAAGAGCAGCATAACAATTAAACTTTCCCAAAAATGTCACTGATACACAAGTTCTACTGCAGGTCCCTCAAGGAGCAGGTATTAAYGTTGTAGATCCCACAGAAAATTTGCTCCTACCTAGGGGAATAGCCATAGGAATCAGGTGTCCCTCCAGTGGTCCGCAGTCAGCAGGCAGGTCTTTACTTGGACTGAAGAGATACTGCTTCTCTTGGGCAGGTGCAGGTAAAGGATGCTGCTTCTTAGGGCTGGTTATCACCTTCTCTGTGTGAGAACATGTTTGTGTTCTTGCTGACTTTACCTTTGTACCTGAAACAAGAGAGAAATAAATCACACATCATCAGCGCACATACAAACACAGCAATCTCAGTCTCCAAATGAGCTGTTAGATTGAAAATTATGAATTTCTGCTGTGGGATGGAGGAATTAAGACATGCAGGGMGGAAGGAATTTAAAAGTGGCAAGTTGCATTTCTCACTTGTGACAGAAGAAGTTGAAATTATATATTTGTGTGTGGGTGTACATACACGTGTGTATCAGCATACAAATAASTGCATAAAAATGAAAGGGCAAATGAATGGTAACCGGCTAACTTGAAAGGTGCAGTAGAACAGAAAAACACCACCAAATTCCTAACAATTTATTTATATATTTTGCCAAGTGAATGACTGAAATAAGGAAACTTAATACGACAGGCAGGATAATAAGGAGATTTTTCACCTTCATGTGAAATGCAGAACCTAGCTCAGCACCAAAATCAAAGTCACACTAACACCAAACACAGACCTGCCCGAGCCAGGCAGCTGTTGAACTGACAGCACCTCGGTCAGAATAGCTTTCCTTCATAGTACCAGCCTCATCATGGAAAACCATTATTCTCTTTTTCCACAGTGTTTGAAAATAAGCAGTCAATACAGGTAAATGAAAACAACTGCACAAGTGAATAGGGTATCTTGTTGGTATTTATGAAAGAAAAGAAGAGGGGATAAAATGCAAAGGCCTATGTACTCAGTACTGCAGGGAAAACTTTTACATCAAGGAAGCACTGAATTTTTTAGGGTCTAATTTTGAAAATACTTTCTCAAAGAGCCACTCAAAACTAATCTGCATGTAGCAGTGTCTTTTCTGCCTGAAGCAAAGAAGAACATTTGTTTCAATTTTGCACAGCTTGTTGTACAAGCATTAAAGTCCTTACTCAACTTATAGTCTTTGATAATAATAGATATTAAGGGCACATTAAGCTGTAGAACTTAAATCCAGGCAACGTTCTCAAAGCAATCTCAGCTTGATCCACAAGACGTCTTCATGACAGATCGCATCTTATACTCCACATATGATTTAAGGAAAATTATTAACCTTTATCTAAATGGATAAAAACTGTATGAGAGGTTCCCCAAAGGGGCTGACAATTGTGAATCATCAAATTGAGGTGCTTCTACTGCTATTTTGTAGGTGTTAGGGAAATGAACCTGGATAGGATCACATGGGTAACAACTCAGTGCCTTCCCCACAGCTGAAAAATGCCATCTTAGGGAGAGGGGCTCTTTCTAATCACCCCCTTCATTTATTCATGGACATTTAATATATTAGTTCTGTTCACACTTGCAGTTTCATAAGTGAAAAATAAAAGTTAACAATGATAAAAATTAGGGATAATATAGATTGATAATGAGGCATATAACAATACAGACAGGGTAGTATGCCAATCCACTCAGGAAGCAGCATTTAGTGCATGCAAATTATGGGTTATAAACCTAGAGGAAAGAAAGGAAAAAAAAAGAGCCAGTCATAACTTCTATTTGAGAATGAAGAACAACATACAGAGAACAGAGTCTCTGAGAAAAGGTTTTAAGATCATGCTGGATAAGCAACACAATGAGAACACCGTGGTCAAAAGGGAGCAGTGTCCAATGTCTTAAGAGGAGAGCAGTGAAACGGAGTAAAGACTTCCACATGTGACAACACTACACTCAGCTCTAGCTGTGAATCTCTGTAAATACTAAAATAGCTTGGCCATTAAGAGCTTTTTAATCTTGTTAAGAAAGTTACCTAGTAACCAAAGGAGCTGTAAACCAAAGTGAAACACTCTATAAGCCAGCTCCTAAATATAAACCATTAGGTTCACTTTTGAACTTTTCAACTAAGATATGTAGCCCCRGGAAGAAGCCTGATGTCTTTAAGTGATGAGTACATGCCTTTCTGCAAGGCATAAGCTAGCCAGACAAATTATTCTTCAGGCAAAGACAAACTCCTGGACTCATCAACACAGTAAACAGTTACAGTTTAGTGGCCTGTGATTTACAAGAGTTTGAGCTACATGATTTAATAGTACCCCCCTTGCCCTGAACTTTTGAGTAAAAGCAGAATTTGGCAAGATATCTGCAACACCACTATGTTGCAAAAACAAGGTTCTCACAGTAAAAGTGATTAAGTACTGTACAAACAGTACTTCATTTTAATTGCTTAAACTTACCCCCCACTCCCCAAAGTTTATTTTCATTGGGCAGAAATTGGGCATTTGATTAACCTTAGTTTAAGAAAGCTGGTGTTTTACATATATTTGCAGTCAAAATCATGCAAGAAAACACTTTATTTTTTTTTAAGACATGCTCTTACAAGTGTGAATAGCTGGATTTATATATATATTTTTTTTACAACTCCCTGAAAGAACTCAGGCGTTAGTCACTAGTTTATTTGCAAAGAAAATGGTTGAAAAAGTTATAAAACGACTGAAAACAGACTCTCCAGATGGCCACTGCAGTCTTAAACAAACACCCCTACTCTAACACTAATTTAAAACTAGCTCAAATGGTCTGCTCTAAGGGGGAAAAAAAGTCATTTTAATAAGTCTGGTTTTTCAAGCCAAGCTCAAGGCAAACTCCTTCCAACAATTATAAAGCATTTATCACCTGACGCATCAAGGCCACAAAGGATAAATCTGTGGGTGCAAATCCATGAAGGGAAAAGCAAGGAAAGAAACATGTGTAAAACAAGCAAGATTTTTTTTTTTTTTTAAAGAACCTGCTGCTTTTAAATGCACTTCATAAACTTTACTTCATTTTCTTTATACCCTGACAATAATTCAGATCTGTTTCTAGTTTTATTATTTGTCCTGTTCTGCTATAACAGCATCTTTCACAACAGGTAACAACTCTGCCTTCCCAAGAGGCATGTGCAGCATGGAAGCATCGCTCTTAGCATCTGCTTAAAGTCATTTACTTTGTTCCAACACTAAAAATAGCTTTCARCGAAGGCAACTACCATGTTAAGTGAGCTCTTTTTCCACACAGTTTTGGGAAGGAAAGGACAGTCTTCCCATAGTGCCAATCATAATGAAAAATAACAGGGTACAACCACTTTGGAATTTTCTTTGAATCATCTTCATCCTTCAGTACAGGCTGCGTATTTAGTTATTAGTAGAAGTGTCCTTTAAATCTCTTTATAATCCCTCAAATGAGTTCTTCTATCAGCTCTACTAGTGATTAATCTTCATTTTTATGTTATGGACAGTGCGTTTCAGAAAAAAAAGTAGGAAATAGAAACAGATCCAATTAAAACTGACAGAATTATAATACACAATTACAAATATTCTGTTAATGATTTGTGAAGGGCTCAGCAAAAATTAACATGAAAACTAGGAAAATTACATGAAAATTTAGAGGAAAAAGTCCTGAAACAGAAAAATAAGAATTCACAATCCTCTTCAAAACTGTTTCAAATATAATCCTCTACTGTATATGCCTCTAGCATATACACCYAGAAAACACTGAATTGGTCTATTCCTTAATGTTCATTTTTAAAATGGAGAATATCTGTGAACAAGAAATGTTTTTGCAGTCAAGTCCCATAAAGAAAGATATGAGTGCATATTTTAATGGTGTCTGAATTCCCATATTTCACATAAATATGTGAGGCTAAGTGGTGCATGTCTGCTGATATCCTCTTTTTGCACACGTGCCTTTTTCTTTATTTGCCTTTCAAACAACCCTTTTAAACACTTATCACTACTGACAGGGTGAAATAAATTATTTTCTGTGTTCTGAATTAGTCAAGATTTCACTTCATACCATTTATCTCTTTCATACATATATATGTATATATATAAATATATATATATATATATGTATATATGTATATGTATATACATATGTATATATGTGTATATATATATGTATATATAAAAATATATATATAAATGTATATATATATAAATTATATTTATATAGCATACTTTTATATATATTTATTACTACATGTGACATTACAAATTCATTAATACAAGTCCCAATGAATGGAACTATTTCACAAATTCGAACATTATTTTCTACTAATGCAAGATAAACATACTTTTTTTTTTTAAAAAAAAAGAACACATTTGTAGGTTTGAAAATATTGCGTTTTAATTTTAATACTTTACCTGCGGCAGTAAAGAAAGATTATTTAATTAACTGTTAGAAATATTAACAAAAGAAAAAAAAGTTGTGCTCTGGATTTAAGCCTGACTAGTCTGCCAAAAGAAGTTACCTGCATTTAGTGAACTGAACCAATGCATTTTGATTAACACTCTTTCAATACTTTCAAGTTAATGGATGTAGTCTTCCCACCCTTCAATTTCAATTTTCATTTTTCAATTCACACCTTAAAGGTGACAAAAGTAATATCAGCATTCTCTAATTTTTCAGTTCCTAATAGACTCCTTTACTCCATATGAATCAATTGCTTAACTGACATGACTGGATAAACCTGACCTGAAGAACACACATCAGCAACAGTTACCAAAAGCCAAGTTAACTTTCTAGCACGCTCAGCTTCCAGGTGCTCATGCTGCTACTTCTAGCAATTCAATTGTGTAAAACTTATTATATTTGTTGCGCATAATTATTATATTTGAAAAGAGTATCTCTTAAACCCACAGGAGTTGCTTAACCATTGCACTGAAGAGCTGGTAAACTACAAATGAATATTTTAATTTATACAAGTAATTCATAATAGAAAAGTCTGTGAAAAAAGGTTATTYACATCAAAAGTTACTTACCTCTAACACGTTCTATCACTTTAGGTCTTGGAGGTTTAGACTTGGGAGAAGGAGAGTTGAATCTCAGATACGGTGCTTTTTTAAGCGTACTACGATGGCCCTGGTAAACTGGTTTCCCATAAACTTGGCACAAATACTCCTCATCTTGTTCCACTGCACTTCCATTCATAAGGCCCTGCCACATAAGAAAAATGGTTTACAACTTTTCCACATGTGAGGAGTTAAACATGCTATTACTTTGGACCCGCTTTTTCCATTTTAATCTGTAGCAATGTCTCAAGAAGAATTTAAGATTAACAAGTTCTGCAATGAATAGTATGTGTTGCATGTAAACACGTATGCATGTCAAGAAGCTCAGCAACAGATGGATGAAAACCTAGTGCTGTGAGATGAAATTATAAGATGGCAATGAATATTGCATTATTATAGCCTTAGCTTAGGTAATTACAGCACGTGAAGACAAGGACACATGAAGAAAAGGACAATCTGACAATAGAAGTCTACAAGACAGAGCTATCTCACTGTCATTTAAAGTTATTACAGTTACACATAGAAGCATCACAATTTAAGATCCTGCAGTCATTATCAAAAAAAGAAAAACAATTGCCTTGGAACCCACCTCTGCCTTTTTTTCTTTCTTTTGCAAGTGTTCAGAATAAGTTCTTAATGTCTGTTTTCTTATGTTATCTTCTGCTTTCAGTGGCCTAGTTGCAGATGAAGACTTCTGTGTTGAGAAACCTTGGATTTTTTGAGTTTTTGCTTTAATTTCTTTATTGTCCTTCATAGCCTTGGTGTGCTGGGTTCTCTTGATCCGTGGAGCCTTTTGATCACATTTCACTTGTTCAGAATCATTTCTTGCCAATTCGGTCTGAAAATAAAACATGTAATAAATGGAGATTTTTATCTTTCAGGCTATCAGAACTCCATGGATAACTCTGAAGTTCAGAGAAATCGCCTGTTTCTCACGTTAGCTAGCAGCAGAGACCAAGTGACTTTCATTAAGCAACAGAACTCTTAAAAATAGAGGTAAACATTCTACTATGGGCAAATTACATAATAGTAATAAAAAGCAGTCTCCTCATGTTTTGAGGTTGAGAAAGAATCACATTATCTCTATATTTTAACATGCTRGGGTGAAAAATCAAATGCAAGTATTCTGAACTTTTTTTTTTTGGCCATACCTGGATTTCTAGGCTGATTGCCTTAATCCACTCATCCACAGTCTTTCTGATACGAACCTCCTCTAACATATCACTGAAACAGAAGAAAGGGTTATTTTAGGGCAATACTTAAATTGCACAGATTTGTTCCTGGAAGAGTAGTACTTTTTCCATGGAAATCTGTAGGAACTGCAAAAAAACCCAGAGCAAAAAGGAAATAAGATTATGAACCTCGAGAAGCCACTGAGCACATCTTATCCTAGTTTCCCAAACGTAGTTTTCTTTTTACAAAAGTGCCACCTGCAAAAGCTTCCCTGCTTCTATCTACTAACATTGTTATAAACTTATTTAAACAAGTGGCACGCATGTTAGTTCCTATTTTGATCAAGAATTGATGCCTGATTTTTTTTTTTTTTTTTTAAGCATGAAGAGAATAATATTTGTCAGGAGGAAAACAAAAATTTTTTAAATTCTCAGGTTAGTTTTAACTAGGATACCATAACTGCAATTTTAAAAGGCGAATTTAACTCAACTAACCAAGCAGAAGTAAATTTAAAAGCCAAGATTTTTTTTTCAGGATGATTAATACTAAAACATTTATAAAGCCTGTTAAGGAAATTCTTTCCACTCGGAATGCTGAAAGCACTCCTCATTTTTTCAATTTATGACAGTCTGCATACAAAAATGCTGTGTGCCTCCTTGTCACGAGAGAAGTGTTTGTTCTGATGCGAATTTCACAATTTAGATTCAAGGTCTGGGGCACAGATCAGAAGCAGCAGACACCTAATATGACACCTCAGAAGTACCAGACACCACAGTTACCAAGAAGTAACAGTCACCTATAAAAAAAAGATGGAGAGAGCAAAAAGAGAGCAAAAAGAATTAAAATCACATTTGGAGATTCGAGAATATTTGAAATTTAAGAGAATCATCTCTGATTGCTAAGCATAAGCAATACATCTCTCTTCAGGGAACAGAAGCAGTTCTGAAATACATGGAATTGAAACAACTGTAAGAGAGGTAATGAGCACATACAACATTTTTTTTTTTTTAAATCTAAAACATTGAATAATCAGGTCTAACCTGTTTGTAGTCAAGGCATTAATAAGAGTATACATGGCATCCCCGTCTTTTGCACGAATAATGGCTTCCAAGTTCTCCTCAAGGACTTTTTTGTTGTTCTGAACTCCTCTCAAAATCCTCTCAGCATCTTGCAGCATAGACTTTGGTGCTTTAACTTTATGAAGGATGGATGGTTTAAGGAGTTGATGTTCGGAAAGATCAGGTGCAACAGTAGGTTTTTTGGACTAAAATTGAAGCAGAAGAGTTAGCTTTCAAACATTACAACCATMTAATTTTCTACACATTGATAAGAATTACTGTTAGTCTACTAATAGCTTCAGACTCAACATACAAAGTTATCACTATATCTTCATAACAAATATATACACATAATACAACAATATAATAACAACAATTTTCCCTTGGGACAGAAAATAAGCAGCTATAACAACTATGGGTTTCACACTCCCGGTGAAATCCCAAAGTCCCTAAAACAGAAGCTTTGGGGCTTCCTAGAAACAAAGCAAAATAACTGATACATGTATGTAAAGAAAAACAAAATCCTCCCCCATTCTGAATTCTATGTAGGGTTCATTTTCAGATGAAACATTTGGACAAATATTCGCTCAGCAAGATACCTAAAAATTTGGTAAAAGCATAAAAAATGCAGATATGTTCAATACAATCTTAAAATGGCATAGACCTGCCAATTACATCTAGAGCACTCAGCAGCAACTCTACTGGCAGTCCTCACAATGCATATTTGAGGAGTTAGCTTGCTGCCCAACCTCTGTATTAGACTTCCTTCAGGATCATTCACCAACATTGAAAAAGGCAAGTCAAAGAACAAGTTAAATCTTATTTTGATTAACTTATTCTAAATACAACATCAACTTTTTCAAAATATTACAGGGGTGCAATACTTATAATAGTGTTATCTCATTGCAAGAATATTCAAACAGTTCTAGTTTTCCACTATAAAAAAAWGTACGTAATTCACATTATACCTTAATAAGATTGTCCATGTCCAACTTCCATGAATTTGCTTCCTAAAAAAGACAAACAGGGCTTTGAAACTTATCCAAAGGCAGGTGATGATATATTAGATCACTAACTGGATAGAATGAATTTGTTTTGACCTAGTGAACCTCAGTGCTCACTTCTTTTGGATTTACAGCACCACCTTCTGTTCCATATCCAGCTGCAGTATTTCACTACAGTAAGACTGCAGTATTTCAAGCTATTGTACACAACTGTCAGCCTGTTTACATAAGTTAAAGCAGGGGCAACATTCTAAATGATATTACACAGAATCACAGAATGGCTGAGGTCAGAAGGGACCTCTCGAGATCATCTACTCCCACCTCCCTGCTCAAGCAGGGACACCTAGAGCACAGGGCACAGTGTCAGTAATATCAGTACCACATCCAGCTGCTACCAATATTAAAATTCTTAAGGTTTCATAGCATCCTGATAACACAGTCTTTACCTGCAGCATGTTGTGCATTTCTCTTCTCAGTTGGCCAAGATCTTGAAGTAGGTCATCTGCTTTTTTCACTGTTTTCTCAATAGAATTGGAATTTYGGAAGGAGTTTTCAAAAGCAGGGAATGAGTCTGTATGCAAAGCAGTAGGTCTGAGAGGAAAAAAATGCCCTTTATTAAAAATCTCATGCCTCCTCAAGTGGATCAAAAGAATCACTCTATGTTGAGCACTTGAATATGTGCCAAAACCAAATTTGGTTTTCTATTTGAGGTTACAGACAGGTTACTAGGTTTTCTCTGTTTACCATTTTATACCTTTAGCTGTATTCTTGTGCTTTCAAGGATTAAACTATAAAATTCAGATGTAATAAAGCGACATTTAAACTTGAAAATGTTTTAAATTAATATAAATTAATATTTTATGCCTACTATCATAAGACACTGCATCTGTAGCTTTTTTAAGTTACATTGATGAAATTATCAAATTATCAGCTGTAGAAAACTATGCTTAAGAGTGGATGGCTAAAAATGTTTTCTAACCTAAAGCTCAGAAATTGATAGGTTGATGCTGCTCCTTCCCAACAAAATGTTTCCATAAAGGTCTATAAGCAGGCAGCTTATATTGCACTAGTGTTTTAAATGAGGTAGCCCCCAACTCACACAATACTTGTAGAGSTCACTTCCTTACATGACTTTCCAAGCAGCTCCAACAGAATAAATATGTTCAGCAGAAAAGGAGAGCACTGCAAGCAATTCCCACCAACTTCTGGGAACAGCAGGTTGTTATCTGCTGGTCTTAACAATTGGCCTTATTAACTTTGAGAATGATAGAAATGCAAAAGTACCATAGAAAACCCTACGTGCACTAATATTTTCCTTATCAGGGTCCACATCAGTGACTCTTTTTACTCCATCAAGTAATGGAATAAAGATCTTTAAAAGAAAAGATCTGCCTCAGTTCACAGAATCACAGRTTCTGTGATTTTTGAATGGTTACATGGCATTTACCTGTCTGTCTTGGAATGCCAATTCATTTTATTGTTGTTTGATGTTGCATTCTCAGAAGACTCAATTTGCCTCAGTGGAGTTTCTTGAGAATTCAAAATATGCTCAAGAAGTTTTCCGCCACCTAAAGAGGAAAAAGAAAGTTACACTTACTGTTAAGCTTGTTTAATATATTTAACATGTTTTCTCCTTCCTAGATACTTCACAATTGCATGATATTCACCAAAATAAGCTTACACACACACACGCACACAAATTTACTTGACTAAGGATAAGTCTTACTAAAATGTTCTCCTCTACTTATCGTATTATGATTGATCTGACTAAGAAAGAAAGATGATGAATGAAACTGGGATACTAATTAGCTGAGCCAAAGAAACATTTTGCCTGTAATTTTCCCTAAACAATGARTGGTCATTCCATTTTCTAACCTTAAAATCAAAGTGAGAAATTCTGTTTAGAGAGTCTATAGACTAAACCATTAGTGTCAAAGTCTACAGTTAGAGTAATCCAATTGTCTCCATAACTAACCTTTCCCAAACACTTCACAAAAATCTGCTCTTATGTGCATAATTTCAGACAAGACAGAGGCTCAGAAGAACTGAAGGCCAGACAGAGTAAAACTAGGCTCTGGAGAACAGAAAATCAAAATACCGTCATATGTGGGTTTGGGAATATTTTCCTTTTCCATTATAGGGTTTTCTCTCTTGGAAATTTTCACATTTTTTGATACAGGTTCTGGGGCACACCTCCGAGGAACTGGTGTCTTTAGGGGAGACTTCTGTGTATGAAGCCCATAGTTTTGAAATTCACTTGAATATGCTTCAGAGGGAAAAAAATCCATTAAAATATAATTTTTAAGTTATGTAAAAGTTATGAATATTTTTCACAGAAAAAAATCTAGGAAAAAAATGTCAATACTATGAAATTCTTACAGAAATGCAAACATTACAAAACAAATACAAAAACAGATAGGAAGAAATGTCTACAGTGAGTTGATTATACAATGAAGGAAAAAAAAGAGGGTTTGTTCTAGAAGTCTCAGTCTCTCAAGTGGAATCAAATTGGTGCAGACGATGTAGTCCGCAAAGAAGAAACTATTGGTTTAACCTAAACTTGCATATTTTCAAGATAAGTGGTACACATAGCCTATTAGAAAACAGGAATGTTTACTACTACACATGAAGGTTTAATGCACGTTAATTTTAATACATCAGAGTAGTAATGTAGAACYAGAACTGAAAATAAGATGTTTAAATTTGTTTGCACCTTGGGCAGGTGGACCACCAGCAGGAAATGAATCCATCTGACACGAAGGTACGGGCTGATGAAGCAAATGCTGTTCTGGCTTCTCAAATTGTTTTGTTATGAGACTGGAAGAAGGCACGTGAAGCTGCTGTAAGCCACTCCTGCTGACTGCAGAGCTAATGAGATGAGACTAAAAGATCCGGTTACAAATTATTTTGGTATATGCTTTAATACCCCAAGCAAAGCTAAGCACGAACTAATACATGCTGTAAAAATCCTATTAGTCAGATTCTGATATGCTACTTGATAGAAAGTGAGTCATTTACACATAATATTGCTCCTTTCTTAAAAAAGTACTACAAAGACAAAGAATACWTTTTTTTTTTTGTCAGAAAGATTAAGTGATAGTTGATTTGAATTTTTTTGAATTACCAAAAAATAAATAATTTCTTAGCGGAAATTAAGTTCTCTCACAGTTTTTGTATGTTCTTTCTATGGACAAAAAATGATTAGAGGGAGGAGAGAACAACAGAAATCTGTGACAAAACTAGAAATCTAGCTTTTCCCAAGGAAGTTCTATGTTCATGTAGTGAGCACCACATGATTCTTTTCCTCCAAAACTAAGAAAAAAGTGCTGAATATATATATATATACACTGATTTTCTTTTAATTTAACTATTGAGAATAAGAGATTTGAAAGTTCATCTTGAGCATACTGACATACCAAAATTAACAAGAAATACTATGTTAATATGGAGAAATAGAAACTATTAAGCAAAAGGCTTCTGTAAGTAGATACCTGAATATTCATTTGTTGCTGCTGTAACTTTTCCAAATGCTCGATCCTCTGTGCAAGGAAAGAATTCATTTGTTTTTCAAGCTCGCTGACTCGCTCATGACAGTGCAGCTTCTCATTTTGAGTTTTCATATTTGTTTGCTGTTCAGCCACACGTTGTAGCTGTTTATCTGTCTCCTGTAGTTTATCAATTAATGCTGAAACTGTGCTAACTTTGGCTTCCAAATCATTTTGAACCTGGAGAGCAATCAGTAAATAAATAAAAGGGGTGGGTGAAAGAAAGCAAAAGGCTTGGCAATATTATGAAGCTCTACTAAAAGACAAATTGGATGTTCTGGTCTATGACCAGTCAAACCCCACCGAGACAAATGCAAATCAGTTCTCTCTAGTGTAATGGTCAGTAAGTTATTTAATCACTAACAGCAAAAGTTAGTAGACACATTCATTAGTGGAAACATTCTATTTGAAATAAGAACCTCTGGTTTAAGCCAGCACAAAATTTCCAGTTTGTTTGCAGAAGCCGGTAAATTAATGCTATATTTAAACAAATTACCAGGAGACAACTGATCCCATCTTTTTGAAATGCCATTTAGAAACTCGTGCTCTGCAGAAATCTTTCAGAATCAGATGCGTTATTTTTTCCACATGGAACTGAATAGTCTCTTCTCAAGTTCAGTCAGAAGATGCAACACTAGTTTATCTCTTTGCTTAAACCACACGTGATTTTAAGTGACCAAAACTAAATTATCACTAWCGACTCATATAAAGAGGCAGATCACTCACTTTAAAAAGTGGAGCCGTAGTAGCAATGGCAGCTGCAGTTGCTGCTGCAATGGTTGTAGTGGAATCAACTTCCCTGTTCGCTGAGCCAGTGTTTTGACCAACACTTTCCTGTTTTTCTGTGGGGGATTTTCCTAAGAGCTGTACCTTCACCTCCTTAAGTCCAGGATTATTTTGGGTTCTACAAATACAAAAAAGCTTTTGTAAATATCACTCTTTAGTTCAAATCACATCCAAGAAAATGATTTCCCACTTGTATCACCTTTTCAAACAAACTTTCATTTTTTAGTATGATAACAGAGATTTCTGAAAGCTACATTTCTAGTGTTATTTCTRTATTACTTTCTAATATAAAAGGCATTTCCAGACAGTGAATGCAATCGTAACAAAGAGTACGATTACAAGTTGGTTTTTGCAAAGTTCATTGTATCACTACCAAAATGCTACTATATCACTTTAGATTTGCAAGTTTTTCCAAGATTTGCAGCCTGTGGATACGTTGCATACCTCTTTATTGGTCTTTAAAAAGATCATACATGTGTTTGGCAACAAATAACTTATCAGAGCAAATCCTGACTAAATTTTGTATCATAAAATCATTAATTCTTCTAGTTTAAAAATGTGCAGAACAAATAAGATATTCCAATAAATTTTACTGATAAAATAAATTGAAAACACACTCATAGATAGTGAAAGATCAATCACAGATGACAATAAGATTTTCACCTTACCAGTTTTTGGAAGAAACTGTAGAAGTATCTAGCAGATGTACAAAAGTAGATTAGCTGAGAACATCAACAACATGCACTTACTTTTGTTTTAATGCCACTCGCAAAGCCTCTTTCTGGCCAGCAGCATACTGAGAAATGAACACATCATCTGTGGGGAAGGATATCAAATACGCTCTGTCAGGTTGACATTCAATCTTAATTTAGAGGTTGAAATGTGATTTCAATAAGATGTAAAATTTCACTACAAAAGAAAAAAGAAAAAAAAAACCACTGTTGCCCAAAAAGACATCTTCTACTGCAAGTATCAAATTGTTTCTTTCACAAATCAGAAGACTTTTAAATAAAACAATGAGCAGCCTTTAAAATAAGACAACCAGTTTATACAACTTCATCTAATACTGAGTGTTATTACAAACAGAATGCATTCTTTTATCCTCCAATTAGGACAACGACTGTATTTTATCCTCAGAAAATTTGAGAAAAGCTGCTATAGAAATAATAACTGCAACTTASGGAGCCCATTCAAAAATTCTGCAAATTCTAATTTGAAAAAAATAAAAAGTTGGTAGTCCCTCCTGTATCCACTATTCAATGGGCAGAGATGAGAATGGAAACTGTGGAGGATTCAGTTTCACCACTGCTAATGCAGTTAGTACCCATATGCTGATCAGCCATCACAGAGACAGCAGCTAAGAGGAAAGAAAATTCCTCTTAAATGGGAGGATGTTAAATTGTGTTCCCTTTTCTCTAACCAGTCACAGATTTTCAAGAAAGTTGCAGAAAACTATTTTCCTTAAAAGCTCTTCACGTCTGCCAAATTTGATTGAAAATGATAGATGTGATTGCCTGCATTCCTAAGGTTAAAAATGTACTTTTTTTGCTGTAGGTTGCTTGCAGAAAGAATTTATTTGTACTGTTATTATCCACTTCAGAAAAAAATATAGCCAAAGGAGCACCCTGCCTTTCAGAAAAATGAACCCAAAATTTCTTGCTTCACAGACATGAACATCATTTTCAGTGATTTTCCATATTGAAGAAAAAAAGACGCAAAACAGAAATCACAGGTCTTTCTGCAATGAAACAGTTTTCTTAAGGAGAAAAATGACCACAACAGTACATAAATGTGTCTTACTTTCATGTCTCCTACTCACTTCCGACAGTGAAGGAACTTGTACTGCAACTTCTTTAGGATAATCCTTCAGAACAAGAAAAACAGAAAAACAAATGTCAAAGCCTTTGGTATCAGTAGCCAAAATTTCAGAAGCAGATAGAATTCCTGAAAACACAAGTGTAAGCATCTCCCCACTGTAGTAACACAAGGTTTTACAATAAGACATGCTAAGACTTATCTCTACTGCAGAATTATCTAGACTTTCTAGTCAAGAACTAACATGATATTTGGGAACATAAACTAAAAATCACAATACATGTTCAAAATATGAGTTCCAAATACTGATTAAGAARTATATTTTCCTCATTTACAGCCAAAGAAGCAAAATCACACACATTAAAGTTAATAGATGTAACTACCCTCAGAGAATCCAGCATCACTCACACCTGCCAAATTAAACAGATAGGCCAGCGACCACAGAACTGAAGAGACAGAGACAAATTTCCTTAAACAGGAATCCACATACAAYCAAAGGCTATATCACACTTGGAGCAACTCATAAAAGCACGTATCTTCATGGTTATTTTGCAGGAGCAGAGCCAAATACTCAKCTGACTACTAGAGTGAAACAATTTGATACTCTTCTACAAAAGTTGACAGTGTAATTTCCTGAGACAAACATGTTTCTCTTGGTCTAGGATTGCAGAAAGCAAATTTTCTTACCATTTGTGATAAAAACATAGCTTCTGTAGAATTTTCAAATGAAAGCTGATGTTCTGGATGTCCTTCAGTAGTCTGGACTCCTAAAATAAAAGCAATTTTAATTATTTGTAAGGCAGATGCAGTGTACCTTGCCTAACTTAATCTTTCCTCTCTGCGTATCTTTGAAAATCTGAATATAATGACCTTCACAACATAAATAACAGCAACCATCAGTCTGATCCTCACAAATGTTAGGAAAATAATGTCTTAAAGTTGTTTGACCCTCTGATAAAACAAACAAACACACACTCAAAACTCCCTCCAAGAACTCTGAAGAGTGGATTTCTGCTGATCTAGTCCATGACCTCTGGACCCTCCCCAAGTCATTTTCTACATGGAGAACAAAGGTATATACACTATTAGGGGGAACTTGGAAAACAAAGTTCTGCAAAATTGCTTACATATTTGATATCAGAATAGAAAGGTAACTTCCTAAGTTGTATAACTAATGCATGATTGAAAGCAACACACAATGGTTTTGCCTCAAATCTGATCTGAATAGCACATACCTGGGGCAGTACTGCAGGGGGAAGGTTCAGTTAAACTACCAGATAACGCCCTGTTTGCTGGCAAGGCTGGAGGAATTTGTGAGGCTTCATCTCTAGCCAGGGCTGCATCAGAGGCTTGGCAGGGAGGGATAACTTCACGGAGCTTCTTTACAGAAATCTTGACTTTCTGAACTCCCGCCGGGCCTTCAAGGTGCTGCTGCTTGTGGAGGCTGGTGGAGTGAATGAGCACATCGCCAGCCGTAAAACTAGCCAGCGAATCCTGGCTAATGCTGGAATCGTCCTCCTCCATGAGGGCCCCAAAACACAGGCCTCAGCATTTAAACCTGGCAACAGAGTTTAGAAACGGTGCTGTTATAAAAAAATACCTGCTTGACAATGAATAAATAGCCATTTATCAATGGTCCTGAACTGCCAGAGGACAAGTCGCCCGCAATGCTGCAAATTATGATGAAAGACGCGGGGAAGTGCAGCAGGTCTACCCCTCATTAAGAGGAGGGGCAGCAGGTCTACCCGTCATCCCGAGCGGGGCAGCAGGTCTACCCCACATCCGAGAGGGGCAGCAGGTCTACCCCACATCCGAGAGGGGCAGCAGGTCTACCCCACATCCCGAGGGGGGCAGCAGGTCTACCCCACATCCCGAGGGGGGGCAGCAGGTCTACCCCACATCCCATGGGGGGCAGCAGGTCTACCCCTCCTGCAGGCCGCGCGCTACGGGCAGCGGCCCCGCGGAGTCGCGCCCGTAGCGCGCGGCCTGCAGGAGGGGAAAGGCCTCCCACCGCCCGCCCAGCCCCGGGAAGGGGCTCCCGCCGCCCGGCCCCACGCGCGGCCCGGTTCGCACCGCTCCGGGTCGCCCGCTGCCATAACAACACCCGGTCCGCTCCTCAACGGCGTCCGGGCGGGAAAAAAGAGCRCGGGGGCGCTTTAAAGCGCTGCTCTCGCTTAGGAAAGTAAACCTATCGCGCGTCTCTACACGTGCTGATTCGCCGAGCAGCCGGCGGTGGCAAGTGAAGGGGGTCGGGTGGCGAATCGGCGGGGGTTGAAGGTCGCGTAGTTGTCTGCAGGGTCCCGGCGTGGCCAAGGCAGGTTGCGGCGCGGAGCGGGTGAGAGCGTGAGGTAACGGTCGCCCAACGGTCGCCCAACGGTCGCGCGGCGGCACCAGCGAGGGGGCCCCGCGGCCCTCCAGCCCCGCGGCCTCCGAGAGCAGCAGCTCAGGGCGGGCCGCTCGCTGCAGGCGCGGGGAGGAGGGGAGAAGGGCCCCGGGAACGTCTCGCTGGACGAAGGAGCCTTTCCCAGCAGCGGGCAGGTGCGCGCTGTTAGGCCTAGAAGGTGCTGTGCTCAAATCCGAGATTTCTGCCCCCAAATCCCTTTAACGCGGGGTGCAGAGTAACTTGGGATGAGGCAGAGAGGCACAGGCCTGGTGTGTGTCGCTCTTCTGCTGGGCTGGACCCGAGCAAGGAGGCTCAAGGTGCCCTTGAAGGCAGGACCTGAAGGATGGGGTAAAGAAAGAAGGAGACAGAGCTGCAGTGGAGTGTCCTCCCCTTCAGCCACTGCGGCTCAGGCTTTGGCCTCAGGAGGTCGCAAGTGTTGGCCAGGCCTGATGTAACTTTAATAGGAAAAAGAAAGTATGTGCATTCTCCCAAGGTAGAATGCCTCCTTGTGTGTGTCTATCCAGAAACTCTCAGGTTCTCTCATTTCAAACTTMCTAGGGCCTCTGTGGCATTTGTGGGCCTTTCTACCATTATTTTTTTTCTCCAGAGCAGTGTAACCCACAAACRTGAAATAACAAAGCATAACCAGTCGTTCCCAGCACATTTTATTACCAAGTCACTTTTTAACTCATCTTTTTCTCCTCTAACCACTAGCGTAAGCTTGTGGCCTGGGAAGAGAAGCTTTGTACTCACAAATGTACAGTCCAAAGGAGAGCAGTCCGACCCGATTCGAGGGTCTCACGAGCTCCCYTCAGCCTTGCAGCCAGGAGAGGGCGCAGGGCGGCCGCGTGGCGAGAGCAGGACTGTGTGCTACCTGTGCTGAACTTCCCGTCTCGAGGGGGTTATTGCCTGCACCTTGCCCTGAATTCTAGGTGTTCTGCTTAGCTGCCTGCTGCTTTCCCATATATTTGCAGTTTAATTAACTTCAGTAAAAGAATGCTTCAAATGTTGAGCTGTTCTTTTGTTTGTTTGTTTTTAATATGAGGTTAATCAAGTTCTAGCTTAGCAAATCCCTACTACTAGTGCCAAAAAAAACCCTAATTTTTTACAAGCTATGGCTATTGTATCTTAACACATTTCTTTTTCTTCTCTGTTCCTGGCACACATGTGCAGAAGTACTTGGGTGGTGTGTTTTCCCCTCCACTCCCTTCCAGAGACAGGAGGTGTAAAACATCCTTGGCTTCGTGCAGAGAGGAGAAAAAAAAAAAACTTAGCTTTTRTGGGAAAAGACACCACAAGCTTAAGATTAGGTAATAGGTACTAATGTTTTTTACATCAGTGAAAAGAACTTCCTCACTGAAGAGAACTTCCTCCCTGCAATTTACAGAGCACGTTTCACCTGTAGGAACTTGCAGCTGTTCTGTAGMGATAAGAAGGAGGCAGCTGCCCAAGGGGACAGTAATGATAATCCTGGAGATCTAGCATATGCAGCCCATTCTCACACAAACAKCCGCAGCCCTCGCTGCTGCTGAGCTTTATTTGGAACTTTCTGCTTCCTTTAGTGAGACTTGCATTAAAAAAGGCAATGCCCAGCTTTCAAATTATATTGTAATTGCATTGCAACTTACAACTGTGGCTGAGAAAAATAGAATTGAAGCTGTGTCCAGCTGAGGCTTGAACCTGCTGGAGTTGTGTGAGCTGCTGCATTTGAAGCTCTGTCATCATATAGTGCAGGTGTCAGCCAAGTAAGGGGTTCTTCTACCCTTTTTCTTATTTTCTCTTATTTCACAGGCTGAGGGAAGGAGGACAAAAAAAAATGCACTCAAAATATCTGTTTTTAGCATGCTTTAAGAATGCAGTGGATTTGCACATTTCTGGGGATGCTCAACTAGCTTACTTTAGAAGTTAAGGCCAACTGGGGATGATTTGTAGCTACTGGAAATATGTGATAGAGCCATGTAATTTCACAGCCTTCTGTATGGAAAATGTACATCCCCCGGGGAGGAGCTAGTGCCTCAGGAATTGTTGCAGGCACTTACAATCTGATAGTGCCACTGGGCTGGTTTGATTGGAGCTATTTCCCAAGTGCAGGTGCAAAAGCTCTGTGAAACTGGTTCTATAAATCTGCAATTTTAAACTTGGCAAACTAGTGGCAGAAGAACRAAAAATCAGATTTGTGATAAAGAAAAACCATGAAACAAAACACTGTATGTGACCAAACAGCACTGCTGGGAGTTGATTCTTTTAGCTTTTCATACTTGCGAGAAGACAAAAATGTTTTTTATTCCTTGTGGATTTTAACACTGTTTAATCATTTGTTTGAACTGGCTTTGTAGAATTGTCGCTGGCTTTTCTTGTAACAGGGTGAGGAATGAGAGTGGCACTGCCATCCATTTTCCCAGCTGTTGTCCCAGCCGCCAGTGTTCACTTATTTTATAAGTCAGGCTGATATTAGCCTGACTTACACCTTATTTCCTCAGAGCAACCCCCAGAATGTAGTTCTCCCTTAAGCAGTGAGCTGTGTGATCTGTGTATCCATAAGGAATTCTTGATCAAGGGGTAGGAAGGCATCTTATGCATAAAATCATATGTGCTCTTTACATCCCCTACCTGGACTTATTTATAGCCATTAAGTGCAATTTTAAGGGGCAGTTTTAGTGTCTTTATTTCCTTCTGCTGTAAAAACCATTACTATTTTTTGTTCCTGTTACTTGCTAATGCTCTGCACACCACCATGAGGCTGGAATAGTTTCCTGAGCTTTCTAAAAGATAAATATCTYGCTCAAAATCTGACAAAAGCGTAATGTGAGAATTATGAGTCGCTTTTTGTAAAGTGATTACTCTCCAATGCTGATCTTTCTTTTACAAGTTGATGTGATTGAAAGGGMTAGAATCTCTTCTTTCACATGTGTAATATTAAATGGGGTTACTATCTGTGATAGGGCTTGGCTAAAACGTAAATTAAGGGGAAAGGAAGAGCAGCTCTCAGCATTCCTGTCAGAAGCCTTCTGGTTTACTCCTCAGGTCTTAACTTGTTTTGCTGCATTGGATTTCTTTAAGGCACTAGCTTAATTTCTTGGATTTCTGGCTGCTTGTTCCTTTTCTTTGTCTTTTTTTTTTTTTTTTTCTCTGCCTTTAAGGATATTCTCATTCCTTTATGACATTTAATTCACTAGACCAGCAGTTAGTTTCCTCTAGATTTTTAAACACATTTTGAGAAAGCAGCTACCTAGCTTTCTTGGTCATCCAGGCTGGGTTATATAATGCTTCAGCTTTTCAAAATTGCTGTTTTACACTTTTTTTTTTTTTTCTTATTGTTGTTTCAGTTGATTGCCAAAGTCACTGTAACTAGAAGGCTAGAGAATGTTATTGCTTGCTTCCTTTTTTTTTCCTTCAATTTTATTTTATACCTTTAAACGGATTTATAAAATGCTTCTTTCTTTTTTTTTTTTCTCTCCTTTTATAGTCATTTTATCTGCTTGAAATGCCTAAAAGCAATGATAAATGCCTGGCAGTTTACAGGTAGATCTGGGCAGGAGGTGTCTAAGTGCTCTGTTATCTGCATATGTTTCAAATTAATAAATTTCTTCAAGTGGATAGTTTGAGGGATTGCTAACAAAGTTGCTTTTAAACACATTAAAGAATATGTCAGTTCCATTCCGCTATAAAATGTAGTTAATATATATGTTTTTTGTGCCTTTTTTTAACCTTCAGAATAGGCAACTGAACCGGAGACAGTAGAATATGGCTGGACAAATATCGGAATCTGATCAGATTAAGCAGGTAAGATGCTGTATACACAGATGATGGCTTTGAAGACCATGTCCCCTAGACTAAAAGACATAGAGGATTTTTCCTTCCCTAAGATTTTTCCTTCCCTAGATCCTGGTTTCACTGGGTGGTATATGCAGCAATGCAGGAATAAAAAAAAATGTAGAGTTTTTATATATTGATTTCACTTTGTGTTTTTAGTTCAAAGAGTTTCTGGGAACATACAATAAACTCACAGAAAACTGCTTCCTGGATTGCGTGAAGGATTTCACAAGCAGAGAAGTGAAACCAGAAGAGGTACGTAATTGTTTCCTGTGCTTTTGATTTCCCTGTCATAGAATAGCTGTATAGCACTTAAATTTCATTTCATCAAGTGACTTTGGAAGTTTTTAAACTTTCAGTTAGTTAAAAAGCTAGGGAGCAATCTCAAGTAGATCATGTGTGTTCACTATGAAGCTTCCAAGTGAGAGACAAAGTGAATTAGAGGAAGAAAGGGAAATTGCTCATCTGTTTTGCAATTCTGCAAATGTCAAAAGGTGATAATAGAATTTTTGGATCCAAACAGTCTGCTTGCCACAAACAAACAAACAAAAGCATTCTAAATCTCCCCTCCCTCCCCATGCTTTTCATATCTTAAGTCACCAGTTACAAAGTATGGGCCTCTTGAGGTTTTGGTCYTTGTCTTCTTTTCGTTACGTGTTTCTGTCCACTGATTTTCAGTAGAGTATTGTACTTCTGTCTTTTGCTACTTTAAATGTTACTTTAATTTCTTTAAAAATATGGGTTCAGGCTTTTTGCAAAGCATCCGGCTCTGGCCACTGCTGGAAACAAGATTCTGGATTAGAGGGACCACTGGTCTGATCTGGTATGGAAATACCTAAATTCCTGTTTAAAGTTGTAGTTTCTTACTACATAACTAAGACAGATATCTCTAGGAATCTCCTGTGAGATTCCACACTTGTAAGAACAGCTTCTGCCCTATTTCCTTGCAACAGTCTCCGTTGCAAGTCCAGACTTCCCAAGGCTCTGTGCTGTGAATACCGCACCCTCCCGGAGAAGCCACTTGAGATGGTTCCAAAATTCACCAGATTTTGCTTCCCAGTCAGACTCGCCTCCTGCTTAACAGGTTTTGCTGCAGCTGATGCCAGGTCAGGGAGAGAACAGGGGGAGCAGAGGAGCAGTTAGTTGCAGGGGTTTTGCCTTGTTTACTTTCAGTCCCTCTACTTTTCACATTCCTTAGTGCTAAGAGGAATCAAAGCAATTCCTGGTTTTCTAGTAATCATGCAAAGTGGTTTTCTTTCTTCTGTGTCTATCTGGAAACTTTATGGTAATAGCAATAGCTAGCTTTGGAACCATGCTGTAGAATAGCCGATAGGCAGAATTGTAGCTTAGAAATGGCTCTAATAACTTTTATCTACTCTTAAATTTCTTAAATTTCCAATCCAGTGCAGCCTATGATGGAGGCCCAGGTATTTCTCCGCCTGCCCAGCTGGGTGGTAGAACTTCCCAGGATTTTCTGGTTGCTTTGTTAACCCAACAGGCACAGCAGGATGGGCAGAGTTCTTAGGTCGGAAGAGGGGTAAATGGAGCAAGCAGACAGTAGACCATGTCTGGCTGTCAAAAGTAGTAGGTGTTTGTAAAGGTAACTTGAGGAAATGGAAGCTAGTTTAATRGTGTTAGTATTTATTGAATAATAAAATGCTTTTTTTTTTACTTCATGTWTTTTGTGGGAGGAGACCAAGGATGAAATGGCAATACATGCTGGTTTTAAGACCTTCTTTTCCATGAATAGTTTTTTATGAGAGTGARTATAAAAAGACACCTCAGGTTCCTCAGAAATTAAGGTTTTCCATTGCTTTGTACAATTAGGCTAAGCACAAAACATGAGACAGTCACCTCATCATATAGGATTATATTCTGGGTCATACYTTTAGAGTTTATAATGCCTATTTGCAGCCTTCTGCTCCCTTTCCCTGCAGATAACCTGCTCAGAACACTGCCTACAGAAGTATTTGAAGATGACACAAAGGATCTCCATGCGATTTCAAGAGTACCACATTCAGCAGAACGAAGCTCTGGCAGCTAAAGCAGGATTGCTTGCCCAGCCGCGTTAGACAAGAGTGCTCTGTTCAGACTTTTTAAGCAGTGCCAATGTTCACTGGACAAGAACACATTTTGGATTTTCAGCTTTCGGGATGTGTGTCCAGCAGCTCAGAAGGGAGTTACAGATGCTGCTTGGAAGATGGAAACCGTGAAGAGTTACCCAAGGAGTTATGGGGGCTGAAGTGCAGTCTGGTTCTGAGGTCCTGGTGAGGACACAAAAAAAAAAAAAAGTGTAATGAAAATACATAAATGTCTTGACACTTTTTTTATTTAACTCAAGTGAAATAAATGAGAACTATACAAGTGTTTGTATGTTCTTTCCAAAGATTCATTTTTAGGACACAGCTTGAGAGTGAAGAACTAAGCCTCATTCGTCCTCACCTGGTGCAAACTTCTATTTGTTCATTGCTGCGTCAAGGTACTCAGAGACCAAATTCAGTGACTTTGTTTCAGCATCTCTGGGGCCGTATGAATGGGTCATTTCTCTTCATTTAGGAAGAGTTTCAGTTATTTCCCCATCAGCTGCTTTCTCAGCTCCTTGTGTTCCTTCTGGGTCTCCTGCAGTGCTGCGCAGCAGTGACAACAGCAGCGAGAAGGGTGACAGGAGGCAGCTGCTATAAGTTCAGGTCTGGGGAAGGCAGCCCCGCTGCTTGTTCCTCCCRCATCAGATCTGGCTCCTGCTTCACCAAGTCATTCACAGCGGAGGTGAGTGCATCCTTGCCACCCACGGAACTGAACTGAGGTTCAGCTGCAACTGAAGCTTTGAGCTCATGCGAAATGTCATAGGGGAATGTCATCAGAAAAAAAGAAGCTATCAAAAGGTTAATTTATTTTGCTGAGCTTTGGCTTAGCTTTAGTGCTTTGGTAATCACGTTCCCTGATGGCTCGGAGTGTCTTATTTAGCAAATAGCAACTCATAATGAACTGTCAATAGGGTTTGAGGGTTGAGAATGATCCTTAACTCGCTACATTGATAAAAAGTGTGTTAACATGTAGCCACAAAGGGAACCACTGCCCTGTCATCATGGTAAGGTTTCTTCCAGCACTAAATTCTCAAAAATTTAATTGGAAAGGCAAAATCCCTATTTTGATAATGCCTGACTGGGTGCCCACTGTAAGGCTGGGAAAGTATCCACAAGCAGGCAAGGTTACAATTTTTCCCACCAGCTTTTGGGTGTGGAAAAATATTTTTAATTTAATAGTGCAATTACCTTGACCTATCAACGTGTCTGCCAGTTCTGCCCAGTCAAAGCGCTGTGAACCTGAGCACAAGCTCCTGGAATCCTTCTGACTCTGCTAAATCCAAGCCCTATCTTTGGACTGAAGTGTATATTAAAAGCATGACTTTTAAACATTAACTGGACACACAACAAATTTTAACTAATGCTTCATTTAAATTGCTGCCTGTCTCTTGCAGGAGCTGTTCAAAGGTACCAGCCAGAAAAGGATGGCTTCATATGTGCATGTCATGTATAGCCAACATCCCATCCCCTTTGGTATTCACAAAATGCCCCTTAACTGTGACACTGCTGTAGGTGACAACAAGCGTACGTTGATGCTGAAGCTCCATCCGTAGGTGCTTTGCTCTCCATGYGCCCAACTCCAAGAGCAGCCGTATGGAGACTGTGCCAAAGGCAGCCACGTTCTGCATGGAAACGCACCACGGCTGGTGCTGAAAAGTGGTCCAGAAGAGAAGGGGATAAGAAGGGGCAGCAACACCCAGGGCGCCTATTTAAACGTGGCCTGATGCCACCGGGCTACAGAACCACCTCCTTTGGAGGGGACAGAAACTGATCTTGGCCTTGGGCTTTCCCACCCACCTTGGGGCTGCATGTGCTGGACAACCTCCTCTCAGCTCCCTCAGCCTTGCTCTGAGGTAATATGTGAGGGGGGAAGGAAGAAAACACATCAATGCACAGGTTTATTACAGCCTTTGACTGCGTTAAAGATACAAATACAGGGAAAATGCCTCTAAGAGGGAACTGAACTAGTGCCCTGTGTGAGGGAACCAGTGACCCTGGCACGGCCAGAGCCTGGAGGAGCTGCCGGGGTGTTTGCCCGGCCAAGGCAGCTCCTCTCCCACCCCACGGCAAGGGCAGCAGGGCCCCTTACCTGCAGCGAGGGAGGCGGGCGCTGCCGCAGCATCACCGCAGGGCTGGGACCTCGGCACACAAGGCCAGAAAAGCTCCAGTCATTACACTTGCACTGCAATAAGCTGAAACGAGAAAAGGAAGGAGCGATAGAAAAAGCAAGAAACGTGGCCAAAATGGTCATGAAAGACACTCCACRTAGACTATAGCAAGCAATGCTACTCGTAGGAGTGAATTAACCAACAAAACCTGGCCCAACCCCTCAGTTGTCCTAGGCTGAGCAGTGTTAAACAGAAGGCATCAAGAGCTGGGGTTTTCTTAATTTTCTTCTGTATAATTGTAAGCTTTGCCTAAGGAGAATAATTCTCAGGATATAGGATTAAGCTGTGTATACAAGAAAAAGCTCTAGTGGCTTGTTAAATAAACAGAATAAAAAGCAACCAGAAAAACTTGCCTGTGTGACGTAACAGAAATATTTCATAAAAATTCCACATCTTACCCCTCTCGTTACATAACTGGCAGAGCTGGCAGGATCATGGCAAATTAGGTCAAGCTGTTCTCAGATGAGGGATTAGAAATGGAGTAGTTTAGAAGTAGCATAAGCAACTGCCAGAGCTGGAATGAAATGATATCRTTAGGTTACTTTGAAGAACGTGGAAATAGAGACATGGAGCCAATAACCAGTAATTGTGTCTGTCAAGCACGAGGCTTAGTCGGAATGAGATGAGCAAACACACTGCTGATAAACATCCTGCAGGTTTCCCACCGTTTGTGTTGAGTTTGGTGTTGGTAAATATTGAAATATCAAGAAAAGAGCAGTCACARTATTTTTGTGATGTAAAAAAATAGTGATCTGTGCTGGTTGATTAAACACAAATGTTGTAAAAGCCAGGCAAGACCTTTTCCACCTTGGTAACTATAGGACAAGCAACTGGATAAGGGGACTAAGTAATACAAATAGCAGCTCGTGGTAGAGATAAAGCAGAACCAGTTATAAGATCGAACTTCAGGACTTGCAAATGCATAACTTTGCCAACAAGCCAAGATTAATCATAAAATCCACTACCAAGCCACTTGAAAACAAATACATATTCAAACCAATAATACTGCAACAAGAAAAAAATAAAATTTCCATGTTCTTCCAAAGCAATGGATGAGTGTAATAAGTGCTTGCAGAATTTTAGAAACTCACAGATTTCCAAAGGAAGTACATATATGTTCCCATAAATGTCAGCTTTTTCTTTGTAATTAATAAAGATGAATAATTTTAAGCTCTCCTGGCAGAACATTTAAATGATACTATTTTTCTAAACAATCTGTTTGAAGGAAGATAATAYGATGGAACGAGAGATTTTTCTCAAATTCTGAGAGCAAAAGCTTGCCCCATGGCAGGAGCTGAGCGAGTTGCCGTCTGTTTTCCAAGGGCTGGAATTTGGGTGACTCAGCGGCTGGCAGCATCCCGTGGGTTCCACTGCTCTGTCGTGCTCTGCACGTCTCCAGACGTAATCCTTGCCTGCCACATTGCAGCAAATAATAAAATCCTGAGGAGGGAGAACTAAAAATAGCCACAATTTTAGTGTCCAAAATCTGTAAAATACAAGAATGAAGTAAAGAGCCCAACAGACTTGGTTAATGCTCTCATCTTTTATTTCAGCTTTCAACTCTGTCTTCTTGTTGGTTGGTCAAATTGGCTTTCATAGATTTCAAATCAAGCTGTCCTAAGGCTTCTTAAGAGCAACATTTCTAAGACATGTGACTGTCAAAGGATTCCAGTACATGTTTTCCAGAAAAGCTATCCTAAGGGATGGAGGAATATCTTTACCAGTGAAAAGAAGAGCAATTTAACYAGAAGACTTTAAAAAGCATTTTGGAGGGTGTGTGTGAGGTTTCATCCAAACACAGCTGAAGACAAAAGCTGAGTTAACCTCAGCATTCCTGGTTCGTCCCTCTCAGTCAGACTCCGATTCTCCTATGCAGTTCTGAACAGCTCCCTACACGCAAAATAAGAAAATGTACCCTAAGTTGCCTTTAAAAAGTGGGYAAAATCTTCTTGGCTAGGCTATACTATCACTACATCTCAAAAAAGGAAAAAGAATCTAAGTAGAACATGCACAAAATACCATGAAGAGTGAAATAATCATTTTCTCTCCTCTACCACTGTTCTTCACATTAAAGGTTTCTGCCTGCAAAAGTCAAATATATTCTGCTTCATGAAGATAAACAATTTATTTAGCCTCATTAACCTTCTTTTACTACTGCTACTGTAAATCTATTTAAGTCTCTTGAAATAATGACTATTGTTTCCACATCTCTGCTTCTCCTGCACTGTCTATTCAGACTGACTAGGTAAGATAAAAGTTACTCATATCCAAGCAATCTCATGGAAGAAACAGAAGCAATGAGAAATTTAGCTGGAAATCAATGAGAAATCAAATATGCATTTGAGTTAAAATAAAAGGTCAATAGAACACAAGTAGCTGGTATACACATTTATGAAAGAAAAACCAACACTAAAGGAATGATTTTTCTTACCTTATGTCCTTGCACACAAGCTCTTTTAGTTAGGGCTTTATTAACTTTTTGCTTTGCTAATATAAGGTAATTTTGAGTAGTATCAAAGGACAAAAATAGCCAACTACTTGTGTGACACTGTTAAATTTATTTTCCAYATTTCAGATATGCACTAATGCAATCTAATGCAGTATATCTGCCAGAGAGTCAACAACTCTCTCTATAGAGACTGCAGAAGATGGGGCAGGTCTGAATTCTCTTACAGCACTGTTCATTTAACTAATATAGCAGCAGAATTTGATCCTGCAATTCTTTGCATTTTCCCCTCTCCCAGCTTACCCTGAGTTAAGGTATGTAATTTTGAGGGAACTGTAGAAGAGCAGAAGGTGAGAGAAGATGGAAGATTACCAACATGGTGTTTTATCTGTAATTGCTCTTGCAAATACTATATCTAATCTCTTATTAAAGTTCTTTTTCCCCCCTCTGAATAATCTGAATAATTACTCTGTCATAAACAGCATAAATATTCAAGGCATTGGAAGAAACTTTAGAATTTATGTCACCAAAGCAGAAGTGAAAGGATTAAAACAGAAGCTAGAAATAAAAGACCTATTAGGGTTTCTTGTGAT